CAAGGTTCGCCCTGACGCTGAACGTCAAGAGCGCCAACTGACTATCCATGAGCCTGCTTCCACAGAGGCTTATGGAGCTGAAGACATTCCAGCAGCTGATCCCATCGCTGCTGAAGACATTGGTCACCATGAAAATGTTGAAGATAATGTAGTCCTTCCTCAGATCGAACACCAACAGGTATCATCGCCTATGCTTACGCACAGCGAACTCATCAGCATTGGTCGTTCCTTGACGCCAATCGATCAAGAGCACCGGAACGAAGAGTTACTGCTCCAATTTTATGCCACACTCCACATACGTGGCTATAACAGAGATCCGAAGACTTGGGTCCTGGAGTGGATGACAGGAAATGTTTATCACGAAGCCAAAGCCTTTGATATCATTGAGCTCACTGGTCTGCCCACTCCTGGAGATCTCTATGAATCTGGCTGTCAGCTTCACAGTGAAGCTCTGGAAAACATCTTTTAGAAGCCTGAACCGAACATGAGTCAGATGCTCAGTATGATGAAGCCCTTGCCACAAGATGTTGCATATCCTAAGGAGTTCTTTGTTGAAGACCTTGAATATCTGCCAATGACTATCTATCACATCATAAGGCGAACTCTCTGGCCCATCAAAGGACATTCTCCACATGCCAAGCTAGAAGGTGCAATGAAGACTTTGGTCTTCTATATTCTTCATGGCAAATGCTTCAATGCACAAGACGAGAAGGGGGAATTCTTCTATATTCTTCTATATTTGGTCGCCGAACATCAACGACGACCCTGCTGCTTCACCTACTCTTCATGGGAACGAGTAGATGCTTTATGTCTTCAAACCTTTTTGGTCCTTACTGACAAAAGGGGGAGAAGCATATGAGTTCGATAGTCTTCAAGCGGGTCCATATGGGCGGTTGCTTTATATTTTGCCTAGTGTTTACAACTCTCGTTTTGATACATTTGGTTCTTTGAGTTGTAACACTTAAACTCGATGGTCGTCTGCTACTTATTTGCTACTTTGTGATGCGATGATAAATTCCGCATGTGCGACGATAAATTCCGCACTTAGATCATTTTGCAGACGTCCATTTTCCATTATGCATGTCATTATCTTCACATACCTTCACATGCATAATGAATTGTCATCATAAGTTGAAGAGGATCTCCACAAGTACAACCTGCCATGTGCATTTGCATTCCAAAAGCAAATTACTCATATGCACATCTTCAGGGGGAGCCCTTGCAACTTATTAAGACAATTCCTTATCCTTTACAATTTCACATTATATTCCCCGTTGAAAACTTCAACTAGTTTGTCATCAATCACCAAAAAAGGGGAGATTGTAAGTGCATCTAGTCTCACCCCTAGTTGGTTTTGGAGTATTGATGACAAACCTAGTTGAGGGACTAATGTGTTTGTGAGAATTGCAGGATAACACAGGTAGAAGTCCCTCATTGATTCGGTTTTCCTACCAAAGATGACCCCTAAAAATGTATGAAGACATTGATGTCAAAGGTGGTATGTGAAGATATTCACGTTGAAGACTATGACAAGAGAAGACATCGCATGAAGCCTATGGAGCTCGAAGACTTAGATCTTTCGTAGTTCTTTTTCTTCCTTGTTGAGTCATAGGAACCACCGTACTGTTAAGTGGGGTCCAAGAGAACCAGTCAGAATGACTGAAGTGATGCTTAACCAAAACCTATGTCTTCGAGTGAAGACTATGAGAGAGAATCTTGTCCAGAGTCGGACAAGTCAGCTTTTCTTGTAGCCCAAGTAAAGTTGCTGTGTGTGTTTGAAATCTGACCGTTGGAATACGTGTCAGTTCCTTAGTGACCCAGGGTCATTTCGGACAAATCAGGTCAGGTTGCCTAGTGGCTATAAATAGCCCACCCCCTACAACCATAAATGGTTGCCTGCTCAGAGTTAGAGTACGACTTTTGTCGTTTGAGAGCAACCCACCTCGAAGCCTTGAGAGAGAATTCCTTGCGAGGATAAATCCCTAACCACCCAGAGCCAAAGAGTGTTAGGCATCACTTAAGTCTTCCTGTCTGTGTGATCTGAAGACTTATTACAGTTGAGGACTGTGAATCCTCCAGCCGGTTAGGCGTCGCGTTCTGAGCATCCAAGAGTCATTGTGGATCGCTGGTGAACGAAGTCTGTGAAGGTTTGGGAGTCTACCTTGAAGACTTACCAGAGTGATTGGGCGAGGTCTGTGTGACCTTAGCTCAAGGGGAATACGGTGAGGACTGGGTGTCCTGAGCTGCGTGTTCAGGACTGGGTGTCCGGGACTGTGTGTCCTCAGGTTTAAATACCTAGCCGCCCTAACCAGACGTACAGTTGTCACAGCAACTGGTCTAACAAATCATTGTCTTCAACGAGTCACTGGTTTCATCCTTCCCTTCCCTTTACTTACTGTTGGTCCTTGTGAAGTCATTGTATGATTGCACTATCTTTTGTCTTCACTGAGTGACTGCTTGTTCTGATTGGCTTCATAATATCTTCCTACCTGATCCTTACTACCTAGCTACTATAGGTCATTGTGCTTTCACTTCATTGAATACTTGACTATGGTTTGCCTAGTGTAGTCTACCTTCCGCTGCATGGTAATAGGTCTATTTCTATCGTTTGTCTTCGAAACTGCCACGTTGTGAAGACTTTCATAAAAATCGCCTATTCACCCCCTCTCTAGTCGATATAACGCACTTTCAGGGTTCCGCCCCGGGCGACGCATTGCTGGATAGCTACCCAGTGGATGACATCATGGAGAACACTAACTGCGAGCTACACTTCAAAATGAAGAACATATCCATGAAGGTGGCGGACGCCCTTGCTTTTACAAATCCCCCCGAGGCAACCTTCCATTGCAACCCGATTCCAGCGGGCTATGCTCGTGTCTTGGTTGATAAGGTGGTGGACCAATATTCGGGGCTAGAGCTTGACATTCCTGGAGATGACGATGAGCACACACTAGGAGAGGCCAACCATCGTATCATCCTATGGAGAAAGGATTGCATCATCTTTCGAAGGCCACCGACACCGCGTTATCCGACTCCTCGTCGCAGTCCGCCATCGAGTCAGCAGACTCCCGCTCCTCCAAGTCCACCAACGCGTCAGGCCACTCCTCCTCCAAGTCCAGCACAGCTTCAGGCCACTCCTCCTCCAAGTCCGGCACAACTTCAGGCCACTCCTCCTCCTCCAACTCAGCCACGTCAGCCGTCTTCGCCGCCTCAGCAATCATGGAAGAGAGCTGCCTCAGCTATGGTGCGTAGCGATACAAGTCGAGGTAGTACTGTAGGTACAGGCGGAGGCAAGCGATTTCAATATGGTCCAAGCCTCGCGCCTCTTCCGCAGAGGACTTACGACAAGTCCGAGGAGGAAAACGTAGCCATATCGAAGGCCGAGGTGGAAGCCCATTTTGCACCGAAACCGCCACCGCCGCCAAGGGAGAAAGTGCCTGTGAAAAAGATTGACCACTTCATTCGTATGGCTAGACCACCAGCTCCCAAGCTTGTTGACATAGACTATGAGCGCCACCTCAGGAAGTTAAATCGAGCACGTCTACAAAAAGAGGCGAGCTCGAGCAAATCAGCTGGCAAAAGGAGCGGTAAAACCATTCCCCAGCTGGGAGAACAGGCGGCGCAATCAATCCCCCCGCTTGTTGTGCCAACAACACATGAGAGTAGGCGCGCCCAATATTATTGTGGGCAAACCGTTAACGTTCCCGGGGTGGGCGATGTGGTAATAACCGAGGAGCATATTGCGCAGGCTGAATCGACCGGGATCACTGTTGGACAACTCCTCGATATCGAGCCCATGTCTCCGACTAGAGAGGAGGAAATAAAACAGAAATATGCTCGGGGCCAACCTTTGGTCGAGCCAGAGGAGGTTAATAAGCTCCCAACGAGAATGTATGAATTGCATCAATGGTACATGGACATTACCAAGATTTCCAATCGAGAGTCCCTCATGGTGAATGTCAACAAGGAGCATTACTACCATGAGAAAGCTGTGACCGTTGAGTATTTAGAACTATTTCAGCTATACAATAAAGACGCACTCGACAAATTTATCGTCAGTTGCTATTGTCTATAAGTGATTTCTTTTTGTAATTTAAGTCTCAAGCTAGCTGTAGTGATCATTTTGATCAATCATTACTTGTTATCCTTACTATATTCTTTTCTGTGGTATTATGCAGGATGAAGATTTATGAAATGAAAAAAGGTGGACGCTATGGTATTGGGTTCGTTGACGCTATGGTATATATATATACATGTGTGTATATATGTGTGAATTAATTAATGGTGGTTGTCAGACATTCGATGACATATATATATATATATATATATATTATGATCGGTTCTATTAGAAATTCTATTTATATATATGCATAACGTGTACAACATGTAGTATCGTAAAATACCAGCAAACGAAAAATAATTAAATGGAAAACACAAAATTAAATGAAAAAGAAATCATAAACCCAAAACCCCCCAACATTTTAATACCGGTTGGTGACACCAACCGGTACTAAAGGGCTCCCTGCCCCCGAAGCTGACTCGTGCCACGTGGTTGCCCTTTAACACCGGTTCGTGTTGAACCGGTACTAAGGGGGAGGGGGGCTTTAATGCCTACATTTTAGCGCCGGTTACCAAACCGACACTAAAGGGCCTTACGAACCGATGCTATTGCCCGGTTCTGCACTAGTGTGTCTCTTTTGAGTCTTTCTCGTCACGACTGTTTTTTTCTTACAAAAAATCACAAGTATCACTGGACAGAGAACACAAGGTGCATGCCACTGTTTGCTGTGTTCGTCAGAGCTCACAACAACTGTTAAAACGAACCGATGTGGTGTGATTCACATCCACTTCTAAAAGCCAAAAAAAAGGAGCCGGAGGCCGGAGATGGCCATGCGTGCTCGTCATGGATTCAGCTGCAAATGCTGCAGCCAAACCAAGTTACTCTGCTGCTAGTCATTACTCATTAACTTGCGGTTGCCCCTGCCTGGATCCGGCCGCTGCTACAACCTGAGCCACTCGAGGCCGTCGATGAAGCTGAGGGAGATGAATGGCTTGGCCTCCTCGTCGGTGAGCTCCCGGGACCAGTCCACCCTGCCGGCGTGGTTGGCCCCCGGCCCCGAGCACTTGTACTGCCCGTAGAACACCGTCCTGCGCATCCAACAAGAAAAGACGTCAGCCCAGTTGCACTTGCGCCAGAGGAACATAGATGGCATTCAGAAGAGAGGGAGAGACGTACATCTCTCGCGTTGGGTCGCCCCAGTTGTACCAGCCGCGGGGGATGATGATGTTGTCCATGTAGGTGTAGGCGAAGACGACGCGGGAGAAGGTGCCCCAGGCGCGGCCCAGGTAGAGCGCCCCCGACCCCGTCACCCGGCAGTTGAGGAAGGAGAACCCCGTGTCGTCCAGCATGCTCCGCCGGTTCTGCGCCGTCAGCGCCCCGTAGTGCGGCGAGATCGCGTGCACGTGGCAACCCTGTATGCATTCCCCAAAACGCATGCCGCCATGCCATGGACGCCCAGGTTAGCTTAGCTAGTGACTGACTGATTGGCTACCAAAGTTTTATGTCGAGCTAATTAAGCTAAGGGCAAGCAGATAGATAGGCACGGCACCAACTAGCCAGCCAGCTCCTCCGTCACGGGCCGGAGCTAGCCGCCGGCACCTGGGGCCAAGCCCTAGATGGAGGGGCCGGGGAACCTGCCGCCAGCAGAAAGCTACATTCCGCAACGATACAAGCGGCGCGACAATGGCTCACTGCCATCAAGAACCAAAACCGCCATTAATTAATGGAAATCTACATTCCCTTCTATCTTGTCTTGTCCCAGCATGCACGGCGGACGAACAGAAACGAGACGGATACGTACGGGAGGCCGCGACCCAGCATGCATGCAGGCAGCATCCATCCGCCACGGGACGAGATCGTGTCTCGCAGCATGGCATGGGCACGGGCGCCAGCCACGGCACGACATGGATCGGGAGCGGTGCCTGCCACGGAACGAGATCGTGTCTCGCAGCATGGCATGGGCACGGGCGCCAGCCACGGCACGACATGGATCGGGAGCGGTGCCTGCCACGGAACGAGATCGTGTCTCGCAGCATGGCATGGGCACGGGCGCCAGCCACGGCACGACATGGATCGGGAGCGGTGCCTGCCACGGAACGAGATCGTGTCTGCCCCAGAGCGAGAAGGGCGGCCTGGGCTGCTGGCGGGACAAAGATTCGTCACGGGCTCACGGTGCTACTAGCCACGTCCTATTCCCTTCCAGGAATGTACTGTCACTGTGACAGGAACACTGTCTTGTGTTTTAACAGTGTGAGAACGCTCAAGACCGACCCGTGCACACGTACGTGACTCTACGTGGGACACTGGTAGGCCATGCGCGCTGGAGCTGGATGCTCTGCTGTGGCCCAGCCCCGGCGGGTACGGACATGCCACCACCTCTTTGTGCTCTATGCAGGGCTCGGGCGGACGTACAGTGGCAGTCGACACACCGACAAGTCAGGCCGAGCAAAGATACTCTGTTGACTCGAATTGCAAGCTTGCTTGAGAAATTAAGAGGAATGTCTGTGCAAGCTTGCTTGAGACGGAGAATGAGAGAAAGAGATGATGCACGCACCTCGTAGAGGGAGAGGGCGTTGCCGAAGATGAAGTCGACGGAGCCCTCGATGTAGCAGTCCTTGTAGTAGTGGCGGCCCAGGTGGTCATACAGCGTGTCCTGCGCGCCCAGGAAGTTGCACCCCACGAACGCCGCGTTGTCCGCCGATATCCGCAGCGCCACCCCCTGCTTCCCCAGCGCGCCCGGCCGAGGCACCGGCGCCGTGTTCTGCACAGTTTCACCCACAAATCAATCAATCGATGTCATGTCGCCATGGCCGGCCAAGCCTTCCGAGTACGCACGCACCTTGAAGGTGATGTTCTTGGCGACGAAGAACTGCGAGTTGACGGCGAAGGTGGCGGAGGCGAAGGTGCCGAAGGGGCGGCCCCAGGGCCCGGCCGTGTCCGCCGTGTCGCCCCACTGCACCACCGTCCGGTCCGCGCCCGCGCCCTCCACCGTCACGAACCCGCGCAGCGGCGAGATGCTCACCTTCTCCCTGCAGCACCGCCGCATCGTCAGACGCCGAGCACCGAAAGAGAACGATCGACGAGTATGGTAGCGAGGTCAGGTCACGCACGTACGTGTAGGTGCCGGCATTGACCTTGATGACGACGCGCATCAGGTTGATGAGCGGGAGCGAGTCCACGGCGGCCTGGATGGTGGTGAAGTCTCCCGCCCCGGGCGTCCTGTCCACGACGATCGTGCGCGTCGACGGGAGCAGCGCGCGGTTGAGCGCGCGCTGGAACACGCTGTGGTCAAGCCCGCCCATGAACCGCACCCACCGCGTGAACCTCCGCTCGATCGCCTCCGCCGCCGTCGCGTTCGCCGGGTACGGCCTCGCCGCCATCGCCTTCCCCGGCCGCAGGCCCTTGGTATGCCTGTGTGCCACGCTCCCGCTCCCGCGCCCCCGCCCCCGCCCCCGCCCGTGCCCATGCCGGCCGGCGTCCACGTCGCCCGGCGCGAGCAGCAGCAGCGCCGCCACGGCCACGCACGCCAGCAACCTCGCCCGCGCCCGCACCCCCGACGACGACGCCGACACCGCCATTGCCGCGACAATGCGCTGCACGCACGTACGCCAATGGCAGCAGCCGATGGGTGCTGTTGGCTGTCGCGGTGGTCACTCACCTCACCGGCAGCTAGCTGGGTGCAAGGCTACAAGGGGGTGTGTCAGGTTTAATCGGGGAGCGGGGGGAATTTAAGGAGATCACGGGTGCCCTGTTCCGAAGGAACGATGGAATGACACAGCTCACGAGCACGAGCAGGAGCAGAGCCCGCTGTTCGTGCTGGTTGGCTCTAGTGTGGGCGTGGGCGTGCGCGCGCATCTAGCAGAGCGGCGCTTGTGCTGTGCGCGGCGGCCACGGGGGTGCATGCACCACATGCATGTGCGCTCGTTCGTCTTCGTCTTGCCCTTCGTTCGCCTCTGTCTCCCAGTGTCCTATCCGGAAAGGCAAACCAGCCTTGTACGTACTTACGGTGGCTAACCGCGGCCCCGTGGTTTACTTTGTTTTGAGCAGTGTTGCCACGCACCCTGGTTCCATTCCGTGGCGGCATCACGACCTCCGACGTGGCTCTCGTGGGTGATGAGCGCTGCTAGTAGACACACCTTTTCTTCCAGTAATAAACTATATAATGACCGAAAACAGTGTTTTCTGAAACGGATTTGCCAGCATTTCCACTTCCGGGAAGAAGATATCCAACGCTGGTGGGTTGCCCGGCGTCGACCGAGCTGCGCTGCATTGCATGCGCGTCGATTCCCAACCAACCATACATAAAAGTCGTACGGGAATGAGTGAGTAGGCAATTGAGCAATTGGGCATGCTCGCCATCAAGTACAGTCTGCACCATCCTTGCAGCTTTACACAGTTATATTACAGCCACCCATACCTCGTATTAGTAGCGTCAATCAAGTGATCTCTGTGCGTCCGTAAATGCAATCAACATGCAGGCGCAGGGAAGCGCACATTCTCTGTCACTGTTGGTTCCCCCTCTCTCCTACTGTCAGCTTGTGCCGCCCGTGAGCGTCAGGTCTCTCTCGCTTTTACAGAAGGAAAAGCGGTATTGCAATACCGGCCGAATCGCTACCGGTTCCATAGATACTGGCTGGAGCAAACCGACACTACACGCTCCATATGCATTGGCTACTCCCCACTTGCGCTAGCTCAGCTGGGCCGGCGACCCTGCTGCATCCATCCAGCTCGGTGCTACCAAGCATGGTGATGGGGTAAATTGTGGAGCTACCACTCATTCACTCAGGTATCAGGGCCACTTCCCCACTACACCGATATATACTCTACTGCATTACCGTACAGGGTATGGCAAGTGCAGCCTTTATACTTTCTTCTCCACGAAGCCGCACGCACTTGCCCAGATCTGCACAGCAGCCACATTTGACATTTCCAAGCATCATCATCTCAAATGGAGCTAGACTTCTTTTTCCAACATAACGCACTTATTTAAGTACAGACAGACTTCCACAGGCATGCTTTGTTTAGCATCCGGAAAACTTATTATCCAGCCTAGGTGCATCTCAGAAAATTTCTGAAACGGACTACGGTACACACAACACAGTCAAGAAGATAGGTTCGCTAGTCTCCCAGGAACTTCACTGGCTACCACTCTGAGGGCGAAAGGCGGGTATATATGGGGCTAGGCTAGAAAAACAAGAGAGGTTCTATGTCTGCGGAAACGGAAGAAGACGACACAAGTCAAGGCAGGGTTGGCTGTACACGGAGGGCGGCATATCATTCTTCCTCCTGCTGTTGTTCTACATCTACAACATCCGCGATCTGGGAGCTGCGGATCCCCCAGAAGGATTTCGGGTGCAGATGCCTCTTGGTGGTACTGAACCGCCAGCCTATGTTGGAACCGCAGGGCACGCACGACGCGATAGTCCAAGCGTATCTGCACATATATATAGCAAGACAAATGTGCTAATGGTTTGATCTCACATTCAAAGATCGTACAATAAACACGGAGGCGACTGGAAGATAAACAAGAGTCGTGAAGAAGGCCCATACCCTGGAAACCAGCTGTGTTCTTCTGTGGGTTCCCCCTCGAGAGCAAGCCCCGTTGCATTGTTCACAGTAATCGTTGCATGCACGTACCCATGATTGTTGACGTAAGTACCGAGAGGCCCATCGCTAGACATCACCACCACATCACTGTGCTTTGCTATTTCAGACTGCCATAATTAACATACATGTCAGAATAGAGTAATGGGCATAATCTTGAAATTATTTGATTTAGCTATACATGAGCAATACAAATTAGAAGCAACTTGGTTTTACATTAATGCCATTACTCATCAAGCAGCTGCAAGAGGCAACAGCACCCAAGTATCTGGGTGCAACTTTGGACCAAGCCTTGTTGGAACATGTTAATCTTGTTAGAGTTATAATATAAGTCATGTACCCCTTTGTATTTATCCCGTTGTATAAGGGGTTTCCTGCATATGTTCCACACCTGTACATGTATATATATATCGGCCTATGGCCTCATGATAATACAAGTTGCTTTCCTAACATGGTATTAGAGCTCTAGGGTTTCTTTTTCGCACGCCGCAACTCGTGCTAGATCCCGGCTGCCCTGTCCCGATCCGGCCGAAGCATCCTCGCCCGAAGGTCTCCTCGTCACGCGCCGTCGGCGTGCTGCGTTCACCCGTGGATCCGGCCGCTGCCCTCCTGATCTACACGCTCTCCTCCCGCAGGAGTCTGGCTTGTCCAGCAGCCGGCGCCTGTCAGATCAATCCGCTGCTTGTACGTCCGCTCGTGGGATCCAGTCGCCACCCGTGCAAGCTAGCTCCTGTTTGGCCGTGTATGTGCTGATGCCTTGACGTTGTGCTAGCGCACTGCTTTGGCTTCACGTGGTGAATCTCCAGTTACTGGTGCATCTCTCGCCGGCGACTCCTGCAGGCCCGTGGTCTTCCGCCTGCCGTCGGGTCTCTTCAAAAAAAAAAATGTCTGTTGCGTCGGGCTATGTTGCTGTCCCTCGCTCTCCGGTGATCTTCGATGGTACTAACTACACCGAGTTCACTGGCTTCATGCGCATTCACATGCGTGGCATCCGTCTCTGGGGCGTTCTTTCTGGCGAGGTCTGCTGTCCGCCCCGTCCGGTTCCTCCGATGGCCCCTACTCCGCCGACTCCCCTGGTTCTTCCTCCGGATGCTAATCAGGCCGCCAAGGATGCGGCTAAGATTGCTGATGAGGTTGCTGATCGTGCCTATGATGAGAGGGTTTTGGCCTATGAGGAGGCTCTTCAGACGTATCATGGTGCTTTGTCTGTTTACACCCAGTGGCTTGATGATGATGCTCGTGCTGCAGCTGTTCTCACTGCTAGTGTTCTGCCTCAGTTTGCTTCTGAGTTTCTGGGTCTTCCTACTGTCTTCCAGATGTGGACCTATCTTCGTCAGCGCTATGAGCCCTCTGGTGATACCTTATACCTTTCTGTGGTTCGTCAGGAGCATGCTCTTCAGCAGGGTGACTCTACTGTTGATGACTTTTATGCACAGAGTTCTGCTATCTGGCGCCAGCTTGATTCTCTCCGCAGTGCTGGTTGTCGTACTTGCCCCTGTTGCCAGGCTGTCCAGGCTGATTTGGAGTTTCATCGCGTCTACGAGTTCCTGTCTCGGCTCCGTAAGGAGTTTGAGCCCCGGCGTGCTCAGTTGTTTGCTCGTGGCCGTATTTCTCTCATGGAGGCGCTTTCTGAGATTCGTGCCGAGGAGACTCGCTTACGTGGTGCTGGTTTGCTGGAGGTTCCTTCTGTGCTCGCTACCCAGGCTTCTTCCATGCCACCTGCTGCACCGACCCCTTCTCGCTCGAGTGCTCCGCCACTTTTGCCCACTCCTTCTGGAGGCTCAGGTCGCCGTCCACATTGCGGCTACTGCAACAATGATGGTCATATTGAGTCCCAGTGCTACACGAAGAGGAAACACCTGCGCAAGGCGCGATCATCATCTTCAGGGACTTCGTCATCTACCTCGACAGCTTCCGCCATTGCTTTGACTGAGCAGGATATTCTGAGACTTAAGCGTCTGCTCGCGGCTTCAGGTTCTTCCTCGACGGGTACTGCTGGTTCTGTGACTGATGCTTCCCGCACTGAGCAACCGCCCTCTACACAGTCAGGTACATCCCCATGGGTTCTGGACTCTGGAGCTTCTTTTCATATGTCTTCTCATTCTTCCGCTTTGTCCTCTCTTCGATTGCTGGATTCTCCTGTTCATGTCTTCACTGCTGATGGTACTCCACTTTCTGTTGCTAGTAGAGGCAATCTTTCCACTCCTTCTTATTCTGTTCCTGATGTTGCTCATGTTCCTCGACTTACCATGAATTTGTTTTCTGCTGGTCAACTTACTGATTCTGGTTGTCGCGTCATCCTTGACGTTGATTCTTGTTCTGTCCAGGACCGTCGCACACACACTCTGGTTGGGGCTGGCCCTCGCCGCCGTGATTCTCAGGGTCTTTGGGAGTTGGACTGGCTTCATGTTCCTTCCGCTGCCACCACCATCGCCAGTTCCTCCGCTTCAGTCGCCTCCGTTACTGGTTCCTTCCAGCAGTGGCATCATCGGCTTGGTCATCTGTGTGGTTCTCGTTTGTCATCTTTAGTTCGTCGAGGTCTTCTGGGGTCTGTCTCAGGAGATGTCTCGTTAGAGTGTCAGGGTTGTCGTCTTGGCAAGCAGATTCAGTTACCATATTCACATAGTGAGTCAGTGTCTAAGCGTCCTTTCGATTTAGTCCATTCTGATGTATGGGGTCCGGCTCCTTTCGCTTCGAAAGGTGGTCATAAATATTATATTATTTTCATAGATGATTTCTCTCGTTACACATGGCTTTATTTCATGACTTCTCGTAGTGAGGTGTTGTCTATTTATAAGCGTTTTGCTGCCATGGTTCATACTCAGTTCTCTTCACCCATTCGTGTTTTTCGTGCTGACTCCGCTGGCGAGTATATCTCTAAGATGTTGCGTGGTGTTCTTGCTGAGCAAGGAACTCTCTCTCAATTCTCTTGTCCTGGTGCTCATGCTCAGAATGGTGTGGCTGAGCGAAAGCA